GTACATTTCTCTGGGGTGGGGCGTCCAATGTGTTGAGACAAGCAGGCGCTCAGTTTGTTACTGTTGCTCCACCACCCGCCTCATTCAGACTCACTGACTCCACCTCTGGTGTCGTCACAGGATGTACGGTCGCAGATTGTGTAAGCATCATCACGTATGAACACACCAGCTGCTACCGAGCTTTCTCCTCGGTGATGCCCCCCCCATGCTCCCTCACCCAGGTTTGACCTGTGCTCTGGGCCCCTGGGAGCCTGCACCAGCCTGATGACTGTTTGCACAGGGAGGTGGTGGTCGGGGGGGGGGGCTCCTCTCACTCCTCACATCCTCTCATTACAACGGGGGTCAACTCCATGAGTCAAAGATAACAGATGTTGAGAAGGTGCAACACTCAGTGCAATTTTTTTTAAAGCAGCGTGTGGAGGAGGACGGTGGCTCAGCAGGGACAGTCTTGGGGGGGGGGGGGGGGGTCTGAACTCACAGACCCAGAGGCCTCTGATTAAGCAGAAGGCTCCTTGCTATTCCAGGTACCAGCCGCCCTGATTAGGTCGCGTATACACACACTGGCATCAAGGGAGAGCAGTGTAACTGTAGACACACACACTGGGGTCTGGTTATGCCAAGCTGGACGCTGGTGGAGGGGGTGGGGGGTGGTGGTGAAGGGGGGGGTTGTCTGCAGATCTGGCAGACTGGTATATATTTGTAGTCTATAAACAGACCTCACGTGGAGGAGGGGGAGGAGGGGGTGAGGACAGAGTGTCAGCAGACAGCAGAGTCAGAGCAGGTGTTCATGTGTCCTCGAGCCAAACCGCGCTCACAAAACCGCACTTTTTTAACTTTCTTACACTTTGGCAGCACGTGCTCGTCTTAAAGTACAAACTAACTCCTTGTTATTGTCAGAGGGGATGTGGGGAAAAAATCGGCGTTGGAAATAAACACAAAAAACTCTTTTTGTCAACAGAATCGAAACTTTCCTTACATGCTAACACCGCTAGCTCCCGATGCTAACAAGTTCAGAAACAACTTAGTGAGAGCAGAGTTTCCCACAAATCAGTGCAGAGTAATGTTTAACTACTGAGAGCCGAATTAACCATGAGACTCGTATTGATTAAGACAACACGTTACGCAGTGTTGCGTTACGCAGTAAACCTACGTAATCGACGTGAGCGTTTATAACGTGGTAACATTTTGAACGGAGTTTGGTGGAAGAGTCGCTGACTGAAGGAGAAGCTACTTTCTCCAACATTAGCAGGTTGCTAACTCTCTATAACAACAGCTGTTGCCTTCCTGCAGCTTTCACTCTCTCCCTCTCTCTCTCTCTCTCTCACACACACACACACACCCATACACACACACACATACACTCATCTCATACATGCACTCACACATAACAACAAAACTCCAACAACAACTTACTTTAACTCCAATGAATGAAGCTCCTCTCTCCCTCCGCTGTTTTCATCGCCTCTGCTCCTTTAAATAAAAACCACGTGTTTTTTCCTCCGTTGCTGTGAATTATTGAGGAACAGCAGCAGCGTTTATGGGGTTTTGTCCCGACGCGCTTTTCTTATGATAATGAATTCCTCCTCAATAAAAAGAATAAAAAAAAAAAAAAAAAAAATCCCCATAGACTTAATATATTCAGGTGGAAATCTGAATGTTCAACAATAGATGATCCGCTGCTGCCTCCGTTTGTCCCGCTTCATTCAAACCGGTGCTGGAGTTGTTTTTACAGTCATTGTTGTTCAGCAGCTCCGGACTGAGTCCATTGTCTGCGCTGCTGAGACACAGAGGAGGAGGAGGAGGAGGAGGAGGAGGAGGAGGAAGGAGGAGAAGAAGAAGAAGAGCTGGAGCTTCAGGGACAAACAGCTGGTTCACACTCATCCCTCCACCCGCAGTCAGAGCTGCTGTCGGGGGGGAGAGAGAGAGGGAGCGAGAGGGAGGAGGGGCAGGAGGAGGAGGAGGAGGAGAGAGAGCCTGAGTCACACAGAGAGAGAGAGAGAGGGAGAGAGGGAGAGAGAGCACGTGGGGGGTAGAGCAAGTCTCTGGAACACACATGAAGTTAACTAATCAATACCATGTATTGATTTATTAAAGGCAGCCCCGTGGCTTTTCACTGAGCTTCTGTGATTTTGTTTTGCCAATTTACTACAGGACGTAGAGAGAGAGAGAGAGAGACAGAGAGACAGAGAGACAGAAAGAAGAGACAGAGAGAGACAGAGACAGAGAGACAGAAAGAGACAGAGAGACAGAGACAGACAGAGACAGAGAGAGACAGAGACAGACAGAGACAGAGAGAGACAGAGACAGAGAGACAGAAAGAGACAGAGAGAGACAGACAGAGAGACAGAAAGAGACAGAGAGAGACAGAGACAGACAGAGACAGAGACAGACAGAGACAGAGGGAGAGAACAAAGGTGAAGCCTCCTGTGATACCGGGTCATAAATCAGTCCCACTGCAGGCAGCAGCTCTTCTGCTGTCGGCTCCACTCACTTCATCTGTTTCTGTCATTACACTGTAAAACACTGTAAAAGTGTGAACATGTGTCGGAGCGTCGTGTTGTAACGTGGAGAAACCTCTTGTTATATTGATCATTGATTCGCTGTCTAATCTAATCATGGATCACTTTTTATAAGACACCATATTGTTTATGAGCTGAACCTAGTTAGGTATCAATTACAACTAATCAGGACATGGGGGAGAGGTTCAAATCAAGATGGCCGACTTCCTGTTGGGTTTACACTCCGGGCATCTTGACATGTTACATGTGATTGTCTGGTGTGTGTGTGTAAATATAAGAAGAAGAAGAAGTCTAAGTTGTATCATCACTGATATCTGTGAATGAGACTATTGGGACATTTTATTGATCTGCTGAAAAGGGCTTTAGGTTGAATTACACATAAATACACACGTACACGTATGTAGGATGTAACAATATGTCATTATACAGTGTGACATGTGGAGGAACAACAGACTATGTGAGGACGTGTGTTATAAGCTGGTTTCTCTCTGACATCAGCGATCATTGATCATTGATCAGTGATCAGTGAGCTCCCTCTCGTTGTGCGTCCTAACAGCTGAGTGACGCTGACCGGCCGTTATCCCTGTCAAACATCAGCTCATCTCTCTTTGAACAAACTGGCTTAGTCTTTCCGTGGCCTTTCATCGCTGGGATTTCCCTGCGGCGGCTCTTCTGATTTATTCTGTAAATCCAGCAGGATTACCTCTGAACGCACGTTGAGCACATTCACATCCTGCAACAATACCACGACTTGTTGCTGCTCCATTTTCTATAAATTGTAACGCTGACACGTCAAAGCCATTTAACGCGGAGAGAGTGTGTCAGTGTGTGTGTGTGTGTGTGTGTGTGAAGTACTGGTGTGAGGCGGCATCTGATCACCTGTGTGACTCTGCAGGGCGTCACGTGTCATTAACGTGTCATTAACGCATCATGTACATAACTGATGGGAGGGGTAATTGACCAATTATGTCTGAGCCACTTCCTGTTTCATCTCTATCAGCCTCTATTATCACTGGATGTGTAAACAGCTCCTGCACTCACACTCACACACACACACACACACACACACAACCTGAAACCCTCTCTGGGGCTGCAGTCAGAGCCGTCTGGGGGGGCAGAAGGGGCAGCAAAAATAGCCCCGTGCCCCCTCTCAGGTTACCCTGCCACAGTCCAGGTTGAAATACCAGCAGACACACACACACACACAGACACACACACACACAGTCATGCAGGACACTTTGTATGGAGCGTTTACAGAGGAATGTCATTGGTCCATGTTGTGTGTTCTCTCTGTTCTGTTAGTGTAACACTACATTCACTTCCTGTGAGCAATGATGAGTCATGTCTCACACACACACGCACACACTGTCTCACATACTCCATCTCACACACTCTGTCTCTCACACACTCTGTCTCTCACACACTGTCTCTCACACACTGTCTCTCACACACTTTGTCTCTCACACACTCTGTCTCTCACACACTTTGTCTCCCACACTCTGTCTCTCACACACTGTCTCTCACACACTCTGTCTCTCACACACTGTCTCTCACACACTTTGTCTCTCACACACTCTGTCTCTCACACACACTGTCTCTCACACACTAAAACAGCCGATCAATAATAAAAGTCATGTTGATTTGTTATCATATTAATCATTAATACACAGGAGACATTATCATTAATAACCAGCGTCTACACAACACTGTTCATGTCAGAGCACTTCACACTACAAACCACGTTCGCTCACTCTGATCGATCAGGATCAATATTTGACCTCTCCTCTCTATAAAGCTCGACTCTGGTGGGACTCGAACCCACAACCTTTGAATCTCTTCGCTCACTGTGTTAATCTAGAAGTCCAACACGCTGTCCATTGCGCCACAGAGCCACAGGGTCTGTCTGTGTCCAGTCACAATAGATTATAGATCATAAACTGATCGATTGAATTAGTTTCAGAGTGTGACTTTAACATTGAGCAGAAGTTGTGACTTTACACCATCAGTCAGATATAGATCAATATACGGACAAACCCACTCCACAGGTCAGATTCACCGTCTCTACCTTCACCTCTCTGTATAAAGCTCGACTCTGGTGGGACTCGAACCCACAACCTTTGAATCTCTTCCTCCATCTAGAAGTCCAACGCGCTCTCCATTGCGCCACAGAGCCACAGAAAAAAAAAAACACAGACTGGTCTGTTCAACCTTCAACAGCCAAACTTATAGTATTTACCAAAAGTGACAGAAGAAGTTGTTTTTCAGAAGTTGCAGTGAGTTGAGCCGTCAGGGCCACCGTAGTTTTGGAGTAAAGCACTTTTGACAGATTTAAATCCAAAGACTTGGTCCAGTTGAAGTTTCTTGTTCTATTCATCACATGTAGACTCTGAGGTTTGTATTTACAGCCGAATGGACGAGGTCCACGCAGCTCTGTCAGACTCCTGATCAACACTGTTTATACCCTCACCTCCGTATAAAGCTCGACTCTGGTGGGACTCGAACCCACAACCTTTGAATCACTTCCCTCGCTGTGTTAATCTAGAAGTCCAACGCGCTGTCCGTTGCGCCACAGAGCCACGATAAGCGAGCAGCATCTCCTCCTCCTCCTCCTCCTCATGTACAGTACGCTGTGTAAATCAATACGTCATTAAACACTGTGGTCTCTGCAGCTGCACTTTGGTCCTTCAGCTCATGAAGCCTCCTTCAGCTCCGAACACAGATGCTGACTTCGCATCCTGTTTTATTTCTACAAACTGATGTGTCAGTCAAACGTGCGTCAGTGCCCTCCTCCCTCGGCTCTGTGCCCTGCGCTGTTGTTGAACCAACATGTGATCGGTCCGTCACCGTCACGTCGACGCTCTCTGGGGATCATTTCAGCTGAATTCTCCACAGACCGACTGAAAATCGATTCCCCTCCTCCCTCCCCTTCCTGCGATAAGTGTGTGTGAGCTCTGTTAGCTCATTAACACAGGAGCCCGTCCTGTTAGAAAACACAGACTGTGCATTTCATGGATCAGACCCGCCGGCTCCTGCGCTGCCTTCACTGACCAGATCGATGCTGGTGCAGGTGAAGTTACAGCGTGTGGCCACTGGTTTCCTGTTTGTGCTGCGGCCGCTGACGCTTTACACGCCGCTCACCATCAGAGCAGAAAGCATCGGAACCAGAGCAGAGTGAATTATGGGAAATGTGTTACCTTGTGACAGGCGGACGGGCTGTGTGACCTGGAGCCCGTCGATGGCGCACAGATTCCCGCAGGGGTGCAGCATGATGACCCCCGACCTGTTCTCTATGTAGCAGTGCTGGGCGGCGACCCCGGGGCCCTGGATGCTGATGTCCATGGGGCCGTGACCCAGAGTGGTCCGTCCTGGGGGAGGGAGGGGCGTTAAATACAGTGTCATGTGGAGCAGAGTGCACATATTGAACATATTGATTCACCTCCTGCATATTGATCCGATATTTATGATTTACACACTGGTCAAACGTCTGGACATTAAAATCTGATTCATGTCAGACTTTGTGTTTCCAGGCAGAATTCACATGACGTCTGTTTTCAGGTGAAGTCATAATGATCAGCAGAAGCAGGGAAGCTTTGGTTTCTGGGCCCTCAGTTAAATATACTTGTTGCTGTGAGCTCAGCGACACCTGAAGGCAACACGACACCTGAAGGTAACACCTCCTCCCTCCTCTGCACTGAGTGAGTAACAGCCAGAGAACAAAGACTTTAATCAGGATGAGTCAACCTGGAAATGATCCTGATGCAAACACACCTGAACTGTTCACACACACACACACACACACACACAGGAAGACCGACAGACTCTCAGGTGCTGACAGACAGAGGAGGGAATCACACAAACAACAGGCAGAGCAGAGGTCAAAGGTCACGAGACAGATTTACAAGACGAATCCTGCTCGGTTCAGACAAAGAGCCGAGATAAATATAGAGAGGACGACAGGGTCAGACAGGAGGTGTGTGTGTGTGTGTGTGTGGTGTGTGTGTGTCTCACCCTCGGGCAGGGGCAGCAGGGTGATGGCCGTGCTCAGGCGTCCACTCCCCAGGCTGACCAGGTGGGGGCGCTCTGCTTGGAACTTCAGCCCCTTCCCGCTCTCTATCAGGTCCAGGGGGTGCTCTGTGGAGGAGGTCAAAGGTCATGAAAGATAAACACATTTGATCTGACTGATTCAGGTGAGTTCAGGTAACCTTTGACCTACGCTGAACGTGGACGTGAGCAGCGTTCACTCACACTCACATTTCACGACAGTTTTACGGCACACTGCATGACGTTTCCATGGAAACAGCCCAGCATCAACAGAGTGCTGAGGACGACGTCATCGATGTGACACATCGACCTGCTGGAGCTGAGTGCAGGGTTCTGTTCCTTCATGCTCTGAACATGTTGAATGACAACAAACTGAGCTGCACAAAGAGAGGAAGACACTTCTCTAAGAGTGAGCGGGTTCTCCACCTCTGAACCTAAACAGGTCACATCCTCCTCCCCCATCCTCCTCCTCCTCCTCCTCCTCTCCTCCTCCTCCTCCTCCTCCTCCTCCGTCAGCTCAGCTCCACTGTTTCTGGACCAGACAGACAACTGCTTGCTGTCCGTTAGCTGAACTAATTGACTCAGCGTGACACCAAAAATGTGAATGTGTAGCATCACAGAGGGGTGTGTGTGTGTGTGGAGTGTGTGTGTGTGTGGTGTGTGTGTGTGTGTGTGTGTGTGTGTGGGGGGGGGGGGGGGGGGGGGCTTAGAGAGAGAGAGAGAGCGAGGTCCATCCTCTGTTTCCGTCCCTGGCCATTTACATATTCCTCTACACACTGAGGCGAGTGTGTGTGTCTCTATGCGTGTGTAATGTGTGTAATGTGTGTGTCTTCTTCCCCCCCTTCTTCCCAAGACCATATGCTGTCAGCAAAGGGGAGGGGAGGAGAGGGGGGGGGGGGGGTGTCGCCATGGCAACTGCACTCTGCAATTAAGAAACATGAAGCTCCTGGAGGGCGTCGGGCAGAGTCAACATGAGATGAGCCGAGAGACGTCGTCTTGTCGTCTTATTGTAAAACTGCAGCAACAAAATGTCCCCAGTGCTGCTGCTGCTTCACCTCCTCCTGCAGCTCCACCTCCTCCTGCAGCTCTACCTCCTGCAGCTTCACCTCCTCCTGCAGCTCTACCTCCTCCTGCAGCTTCACCTCCTCCTGCAGCTCTACCTCCTCCTGCAGCTCTACCTCCTCCTGCAGCTTCACCTCCTCCTGCAGCTCCACCTCCTCCTGCAGCTTCACCTCCTCCTGCAGCTTCCCCTCCTGCAGCTCCACCTCCTCCTGCAGCTCTACCTCCTCCTGCAGCTTCACCTCTCCTGCAGCTCCACCTCCTCCTGCAGCTCTACCTCCTCCTGCAGCTCTACCTCCTCCTGCAGCTTCACCTCCTCCTGCAGCTCTACCTCCTCCTGCAGCTCTACCTCCTCCTGCAGCTTCACCTCCTCCTGCAGCTTCACCTCCTGCAGCTCCACCTCCTGCTTTCACATCATCACACAGTCACTGAGCTCCTCCTGCAGCTCTACCTCCTCCTGCAGCTCCACCTCCTCCTGCAGCTTCACCTCCTCCTGCAGCTTCACCTCCTCCTGCAGCTCTACCTCCTGCAGCTTCACCTCCTGCTTTCGCATCATCATACAGTCACTGAGCTCCTCCTGCAGCTCTACCTCCTCCTGCAGCTTCACCTCCTCCTGCAGCTCCACTCCTCCTGCAGCTCTACCTCCTCCTGCAGCTCTACCTCCTCCTGCAGCTTCACCTCCTCCTGCAGCTCTACCTCCTCCTGCAGCTCTACCTCCTCCTGCAGCTTCACCTCCTCCTGCAGCTCTACCTCCTCCTGCAGCTCTACCTCCTCCTGCAGCTTCACCTCCTCCTGCAGCTCCACCTCCTGCTCCTCCTGCTGGGTCACAAACCTGCTGCCACTTCAGTTATAATTCAGCTGATTGTTTTGAGGCCTGTGCCCTGGTTCGTGGTTGATGATGCTGTGAATTATAAATGAGCTGCAGACACATGTTCTGCTCTGCGACCAGACACCAGAGGCCTGGAGATGTTGACTTCTCTAAACAAAAGGTTTCTACCTTTGTGGTTAAACGCTGACACTCTCGGGTGTCACTGATCTCCTCAGACTTATGGTTGATTTATAATCTGATTATTGGTTAAAAGTCTGTCAGACGTATGAACATATTGCTGTTCGAGTCCTGAGGCTGAGAAACTTTGCATCATGGGAGACGGAGGATCACGATCTGATTTTACATTAATTAGATTAAAACTCTGAGTGATAATGAACTCAGGTCATCAGTCAGCGATGTCATGTTTTTTGTCCCCTTTTTATCTCCGTACATGCACAGACTGTAGCAATGGTTGACTGTGTGTGTGTGTGTGTGTGTGTGTGTGTGTGTGCTAATAGGATTATGTGACTGTCGGTGGAGTGGGGTCAACACTAAGAGGATTGTCGAGATAGAGACTGGCCGGGAAGCAACGGAGGAGGGAGGTGGGGAGAGTGTGTGTGGGTCTGTGTGTGTGTGGGGGGTGGGGGGTCTTACTGGGAGTGATGGGAGGAGGAGAGGGGAGGAGGAGGGGGAGCGGGGAGGAGGTGGCGGCGGTGGGGCAACGCTGCAGGACTCATGCAGCTTCATCTGCTGTGTGCTGCTGCTCCCATGTGGTGCTGCTCTCTCTCTTCACTGTGATGTTTAAAACATGGAGCCACATTAACATACGTGGAAAACACTGTTTGTCTCACACATGTAAATGAGAGCGTTTTAATCTCTCTGCGCTTCAGCTCTCTGGTTTACATCTTAAATCATATGATCTTATATTTATTCTATTGATTTTCATGAAACGAGACGGATCAGTATGAACCATCAAAACTAAAACTAACACTGTAGGTAAAACATATGAAACTGGCAGAAGCCCCGCCCCCACAGCAGGGTCACTTCCTGTCAGGAACTGACCACACTGAGCTCGCACCATTGACAGGATAATGATAACTGATGACGAAACAATAAGGGTAAATCAATAGGAAATATGATCCAATCAGATCTGATGACAAATATTTCTCATCAGATCGTTTCGAGCTGTGCAAAGGAGCAACCAAGTGTGTGTTCATTCAACATGTGAACACAAGACCATGATCACACCGTGTGTACTTCAGCCTTAAATGGTCCGCAGTGTCGTCTCATCAGTTTCTCTGCAGTTCAGACTCTCTCTGTGTTTTTCAGTCTCAGTCACTCGTCTCCAGTTTCTTATTGAACTTCTGTCTTTGTTTAAAATAAACTTTTCTTTTCCTTTTGTCCCAGTTTCCCTACGAGAAATGATTAAAGTTTAATCACAGCTTGTTTTATATTCCAACTGCTACACACACACACACACACACACACACACACACACACACGCACACAGCCCACCCCCTTTAAGGCCTGAGAGGATTGTCTGACCCAGCAGGTGGGAAGCGAGACGTCCAATCTGCGGCTCTGTCTAATTACTGACTCTGCCTGAAGATTCCTACTTTACAACACACACACGGACAGAAGCTGTCAGGACGCGTCACGGCAACACCG